CTCTTCAGAAAGAAAGAAAAGATAAAAACAGAGGTAAAAAAGTCTTCTTAAGAATTAAATAAAGAAAGAAAGAAAGAAAAGATTAAAACACAGGTAAAAAGTCTTCTTAAGAAAGAAAGAAAGAAAGAAAATATGAAAACAGAGGTAAAACGTCCTCTTAAGAAAGAAAGAAAGAAAGAAAAGATGAAAACAGAGGTAAAATTGTCCTCCTAAGAAAGAAAGAAAGAAAGAAAAAAAGAAAGAAAAAAAGAAAGAAAAGATGAAAAAACTGAAATAAAAAATCTTCTTATGGAAGAAAGAAAGAAGAAAAGATAAAAACAGAGGTAAAAAACGTCTTCTTAAGAAATAAATAAAGAAAGGAAGAAAGAACGAAAGAAAGAAAGAAAGAAAGAAAAAAAGAAAGAAAGAAAGAAAAAATAAAGACAGAGGTAAGAATAAAGGAAGTGATAATGAAAATGTTCAGTAAATAAATGAATAAAAGTAAATAGAAAATAGAAATAAATTAATGAAGAAAGTGAGACAAATGTAAAGAAGAGAAAATATAAATCACCATGACCATTCATCTTTATAGCAGAACCCATCTCCCTTCCTATGTCTTCCTATGTCTCGGTTGCGTGTGAACCCCTGTGAATTAAAAAAAAAAAAAAAACAGATAAATACGCAGTAAAAAGGGAAAAAAAGAATGAATTCAAGTTGAATAAGAACAAGAATGAGAGAAAGAAAGACAGAAGAAGGAATAACGAGAAAGACAAAGAAAGAAAAACAACGAAAGAAACAAAGAAAGACAAAGAAAAACGGAAAGAGAGAGAGAGAAAGAAAAAAGAAAGAAAGAAAAGTGAATTCAAGATGAATAAGCAGAAGAAAGAGAGAAAGAGAGAAGAAGAAATAAGGAGAAAGAGAGGAAAGTAAAAGAATTATTAAAGAATTAAAGGATAAATGCAAGAAAGGAATTAGAAAGAAGGAAGGAGTGTTTAATATAAAGAGAGAAAAAGAAAGAATGGAAAAGAGTGAGAAATGGAAAAGGATCCTTAATAAATAAATAGCAAGAAAGAAAGAAGAGAAAGCGAAACTTTATATGAAAAATGAAAGACAAGAACAGAAAGAAAGCAAAAAAAAAAAAAAAAAAGATTACCAAAGAAAGGAAGACAAAGAACGGGAGAAACAGAACAAACGAAAAAAAAGGGGAGAAATAAAGAGGGAGAAAGAGACTGAGAGAGAGAGAGAGAGAGAAAGAGATAGAAAAACCGATTATAAAAGAAAGAAAAGAGAGGAAGAAAGAGAAAAACCGATCTCCAAATAAAGAAAGACGAAGAAAATCAGAGAGAAATATATTCGATCGAAAAAAGGGGAGAGAGAGAGAGAGAAATAGAGAGGGGGAGAGAGAGAAAAAGAGAGAGAGAGGGGGGGAGAAAGAGAGAGAGATTGAAATAAAGAGAGGGGGAAAGAGAGATAGAAATAAAGAAAGAGAGAAAGAGAAAGAATCAATGAAATAAAAAATAAGGAGATAAAAAACGAATATGAAAGAAAGAAAGAAAGAAAAAATCCGAGCATCAAAGAAAGAAAGACAATGACAGAAAGAGAGAAATAGAACAAACGAAATAAGCAAAGAGAAAGACAGAGAGAGAGACAGCGAGAGACAGAGAGAGAGAATGAAGGAAATAAAAAAGAAAGGGAGAAAAACCCGAGTATGACATAAGAAATGAAAGAGAAAAGAAAGAAAGAAAGAAAGAAAGAAAGAAAGAAAGAGAAAACCGAGAAATAAAGATAGAAAGACAAGCAAAGAAAGAGAGAAATAGATCGAACGAATTTAGCGAAGAGAGATGGAGAGATAGAGAGAAAAATATCTCGGAAAGAAAAAAAAGAAAGAAAAAAAGAAGGGAAATAAAACCTGAAGTCTGAAAGAAAGAAAGAAAGAAAGAAAGAAAGAAAGAAAGAAAGAAAGAAAGAAAGAAAAGGAAATAAAACCGAGTCTGAAAGAAGGATTATGAAATAATCCAGAAAAAAAGAAAGGATAAATAGAAAGAATTTGAATTAAATAAATAAGTAAATAAATATGACAGTACATAAAAAAAGAAAGGAAAAACTAATAGAAAGAAAGAAAGAATGGAAGAGGGGTGAGAAGGAAAAACAGATGAGAAATAAAGAAAAATAACACTTAAGAAAGGAGTGAAAAAGAAAGAAAGCAGTTTTTATCAAATAAGAAACAAAATATCAAAGCAAATCAACTCATTTAGTAAACGGTTGATTCATTATTTCCATGAAGTGAATTCTCGATATTATGTTGCGCAGTCGTAGTGGGTGTGAAGCAGGGTAAATGCAACCGTTGGGGAAACAAAAGTTTTCAATAAACGGCTTCAATTATTTATTTGTTTATTGAAAAGCGTTCAAATATTTTCAGAAGAAGCTTGTTATAAAAAGAACGGGCTATTGGATTAGTGGAGAATTTACCAACTTTGCTCGTAAGATTGTTCACATCACTCTAACAAAAGATACAATGCGG